CCCCCCTCCCCCAATGGAAACAACAGCTACATGTCTGTAACCATGGCAAGCTTTCAGATCAGAGGATGTGGTTTAACCTGGAGACAAATGGGTTCCACCTTATGCATGAATAAATAGCTCTCCAGCTTTCAGGTATCAGCTCTGCCTTCTTGGCAACTCTGATCATGCAGCAATGTCTGTAAACATCTCTTTCCACTCCCCTACCAGCCAAGAACATTCTACCAACAGAGAGATGTCTGTTGCAATCAGACATGTCTACTACCAACAGAATATCTTTATCAATGAGCTGATTGGGATTCGTTCTGTGATTGCTTTTTTTTTTTTTTGTGTGTGTGTGTGTGTGTGCGTGTGTGTGTGACATGCTTTGGAATTAAGTTTTCAATTGTCCTGTTTAAAAATATGCCTCTGAGGTCTCCTGAATGAAAGCTGGCATCAATACTTTCATCCTAGCACGGAAATACTAAGTGAACATGTTCATCTCCTTGATTCCCACCTGCATGCTATAGCCCACAGGCATCACTTCTTCCAGTGGTACCAGTGTGATATGTCTGATTGCAACAGACATCTCTTTGTCTCTGCTCATAATGAGTGTCCTCAAAGAAGCAAAGTTTCTGTTTGCTGATAGAATGAAACAACATATAGCATCCTGCAAGTTCAGTTCTAGAGATTATTGGTGGCTCTGCAAGAGTATGCTGAACCAATTCTCAATCCCTCTATTCAATCAATTTGAAATCCTGACATCTACAACAGATGATTGAATGCTTTGCTTCCAAATGAACACTTGACTCATTTGGAGTGCCCACACCTAATTTTCCTCTTTAGAAAAGAGGCAGAGGCTAAGTGATATGAGCATAGCCTGGTCACTGTTCTCAGACATCATTTTTAAGTAGAGTGCCATAAGGCAAACTGTGGTGACTGGATCCCAGCTGTCATCCTAAAGAAAAGTGCTCCTGAACTAGCTCCAGTTCTCTCCAAACTCTACAACTATTGCCTCACTGCTTCTTGCTTTCCAGCTTGTTGGAAGTCGTCCTCTGTAGTTCCTGTTTTTAAGAATACTGGAGAACATTCTGACCCCTCTATAACCCTTTTTGGCAAAGCATTTGAGGCTTTAATCAATGCTGAAGCAGTTAAGCATTTTACTTCTCACAACCTACTCTCAGACAAACAATATGGCTTCCGTTTCACCAAATCTATCACTGATATGTTAACAGCCATCACTGAATAGCTCAAGCTCTTGATAATAACAATGAAGCTTGGGCTGTGGCTCTTGATATCTAAAAGGCATTTGACATGGTTTGGCATGCTGGTCTTCTACATAAGCTCCAGAGCTATGGTATTACAGGACAATTGTTTAATTTAACCCAATCATTCCTATCAAATTGTGAAATGAAGGTCATTTTGAATGGGCTCACTTCCAGATCCTTTCACATGAATGAGGGTGTCCCCCAATGCCCTATCCTGGGTCCTATGTTGTTTCTGATCTTCATCAATGATCTTCCTGATGTCATCAGATCCCAAGTAGGCATTTATGCAGATGACAACACCATTTACTCCGGTCTCAATAGAAAATCTGTCAGAGCTGACAAAGTAAACTTGGATGCTGCTCTTGAAAAGGGTCTCTAATTAGTGGTTAACCGGGGCAGGAAATGGCTTGTAAATTTTAATGCCTCCAAAACTAAATTGCTCTTATTTAACCACCATAGAGAAACTTTTTGCCTGCCATAAGTATGGCTGATATTAGACTACTGGAGAGCAACACACTGCGCCTTCCTGACCTCAGGTTTTGAACTGACCTGAAGTGGTATGACTACATCAAATAAATAGCTGCATCTATTGCAAGGAAAGTTGGGTCACTGTGTCAGGCAATAAAATTTTTCTTGTCACAGTCCATTGTGTACCATTCTACCATTCGTCCATGGATTGAATACTGTTGCCATATCTGGTATGGTGCTTCTACTATTCATCTCAAGGTTCTTGACAAAATCTAAAGAAGGATTTGCAATGTAATTGATCTTGAATTGGAACCTCAACATCAGTCACTTTCTCACCAACACAGTGTGGCTTCTCTGGGTCTTTTCAACAAATACTTTCATGGCAACAACTGTGGCAAATTTTCTTCTCTGGTGCCCCAGCTACATGAATTTAAGTGTGCTACTAAATTGGCATCTCAGTCCTGCACTTTTACTGCTGAAATACTTAAATGTAACTACCACTTCTACTTTAACAGTTTTTCGTGCACTTCCTCCCTTTTGTTTACTTGCTTCCCTGATAACTACAATCTTCAAAAATTTAAATGCAATGTCAATTGCCATCTTCTGTCTTCTTGAATCCAGTTCATCTTTTATCCTTTCCTCAATCCTCCCTGTACTCAGTCTTTTCTCTTGCTTCCACTCTTTGTAGTTCCCTGCATACTAATGGCATTCTCACCCTGTTTTTTTTTTGGGGGGGGGATGATTAAAGAAAAAAACAGATATGTAGAAAGAACTGGAGATGGTGATGAAACTATAATTGTTATAATGAAACTATGTTATTAACAATACATTAGTTTTTTTTGGTAGGAGTTGTTTTTCTTTTTCAAATAACAGAAATAAATTTAAGCCATTGACTTGAGTATTTCTATCCTTCAGTTTTGAAACTTCAAATTTTAGTGTTGAAACATTGTTGATATTTAATGTGTAATCCAATGGATTTTGAAGGATACAGTTAATAAGGATATTAGTTTTGAAATCTCTGAGACACAATTGGATCTAATTTCCTTGTTAGAAAGACTTAATCGGAGTACTAAAATATCTTATAAACAGGTTACTGTGACCAGAGGTCCTGGGAACCTGTGCCGGTGTTCTCTAGAAATGGAGCTCATCAGAAATGTCAGATCATATTGTAGTCTTTTTCTTCACAGTCATCCATTAACAGTCCTTGGGCAAAAATTCTGTTAGTATGCTTGCACTTAAAATGATTTGTTATATCAGGTGGGACTGTATTAACACATTAATTATATTCTAAGTATTTATCCATGGTCTCACTTGCATAGAATATGACACTAGGTTGAAGTTTAACATGGGATTCAATATTGTATATTTATGTTAATTATATGTGTATATATATATATATATATATATATATATATATATAATACATACACACACACACACAATATGTAAATTTTTATATATCAAGAAAAATTTTAGCGGTAAAAAGTATGATAAAGTGAAATAAAACTTTTTCCACTAATATATATATATATATATATATATATATAAATATATACACTAAGGTCACACTGAGGTCAACGACATGGCCTAGACATTATATACAAACCTGAAACAGACTTGTACATACTTTTATATTTACATGCAATCTATCTCTGATATTGAGCACTTTTACCTATAAATATAGCATGCCTTAAAACTATCATTGTGTCATTATAAGCACACATATACATACATGCATGCACACAAAGATAAGTCAAAAGCTATTTGCACTTTCACCATAACATATTTTTAAGTTTGTCACACTGCCTTCTGCTTATAGTTGGTACTATTATAGTCATGTGATTTAGTTTGAGCTTGATTGTGTCAGTTTTCTTGCTGCCGTTACAGTGTAAACATGGCCATTCTGCTAGCAGTGTGTACCAAGGAGGAACAAAGCAATGATCCGATTTCTCTAGTCAGAAGGTGTGTCAGGGACTAAAATACATCAGATGATTTTAACACAATGTGGCGACAGTACACTACCATGTAGAAGTGTGTCTGAGTGGCTCGCAAAGTTTAAAAGTGTCTGGACAAGTGTGATGCATGAAAAAGGGTGAGGATGCCCATCAACCTCCATCACTGATGAGAAGATTCAGCCAGCTTGAGAGATGTTAATGGTGAACCAGTGACTTATTAATGAGGTTGCATGTTCTCTGAAGATTCAGATCATTGCTCTTTGTTCCACACGGCTACCAGAGTGGCCATGTTTACACTGTAACAGCAGCAAGAAAACAGGTGCAATCAAGCTCAAACTTTGATCAAGTGACCATAACATTACCAACTATAAGCACGCATGAACATAAGGCAGTATGACAAGCCTGAAGACATGTTGTTGTGCGGTGTTTACTCATTCCCCCACGAGAATGAGATGTGACACAAGGTCGGATTAATGTGGGGACTCGAGGGCGTGCACCCGGGCAGGGTCAAAAATTCCCCTCAGCCCCCGTAACCGTCAGTTGCGCTGGCCTCGGTGTGAGCACCAATGCCTCCCTCTTGTGCAATGGGAGGGCGCGGCCTCAGGCAGTTGTTCCCCAGGGCTGGGCACCTCTTCAGTATAATTTTCCTCAATTGCCTCTCTGTCCTTTGACAGAGAAGCCCCTGAGCACACTCTGTTCAATGACAGAGACGCAACTGAGAGATAAGTAATGTGCATAAATTACTTGCAGTACAAATTACTTACATGTTGTTGTGCAAATGTGGATAATTTTTAACTTACCCTTGTATATATTCATGATGTATAGTTATTCAGGTTACCTATATAAATAAATCACAATTTATTTATTTACAGTACATTTACACTTATAAAAAGAAAAATAGTTATGTTGAGGATTTTAATGTATTTAAGAGACTAATACTTGTAACATTCTATTAAGAATGAAATAAAAAAAAAAAAAATCCTAAGTAATATATTTACAGTATGAGCTGTTAAAAAATCATAATATCAGTGATTCTATTTTAGGGAATACAGAGTAAAGTTTCTATTTTCCTAGTTAAGCTGCCCCTAGAAAATAAAATAAAAAAAGATTGCAGATTTGCATAATAGTCTCATCGCTATACTCTGTGCTTTGTGCTCCATATCTGATGTGGATATTAATGTCATAAGCTTACATTCATAGTAATCCTGCAATCTTGGTTTCAATAAATGCTACAAGATTCTTCAAATACACAATAATAAATGAGTTCAATCTTCTGACAATCACGTTTTCTGACCAAACTGCATTTGTCTTCTGGTCTTTTAGTAATTCAGCTTACAGCCATATCACATTGAAACACTAGTTCCTCTATGATCACCGAAGTTAAGCAATGTCAAACCTGGTCCATACTTAGATGGATGACTGCTTGAGAATACCAGGTGCTGTAAGCTTGGATGTGCAGGTGATGCAATAGATAATGGCTCAGATATGGAAATCGGAGAGCCAAGTTCTAATTCCAGTTGGGTTAGTTACATTCACTCACATGCGAAATACACTTGGAAATGGTATGACTCTACCTCTTCACCCATTATGGGTTAATTAGTATGACTTGTATCACTAAATCATTATTATATAGGTACCTCCACTGAATTTTTGATACCTAAGTTTTAAAATTAAATTTTAAAAATGAAAAAGGATTCTTGAAGATTTCATTCTAGTTTTAATGATCAATATTGAACTGTTGTTAATTTTTTTTTTTCTTCAAAAATTTTATTTTGTCATGTTGGTGTTAAGGTTAATATAAAAAAGCTTGACAAGAATATATAAAGTTGGATCTAAAAGTTTTTAGTATGTTAATGTTAATTTATAAGTACACAAATATAGTTTATATACAAAAATGCTTTAAGAGTAAGCTACAGTTTAAAACTTGAATCAATTAGGCTTGAGCAAATTGCAAGATTACCTGATGAACATTGTCTATTAAATATATACCATTTGACTTTGAAACTATATTTGTGCTTAGACAAGTCTGATCCCAAAAGAATTCTTTGTTGATCAAAGACTATAGTAAATACATCTTAACCAGGGACTAAACTTAAAAACAACTGTCAAAATATGAAATGATGAAATTAAAACAAAAACATGAACTAATATTTGGATATTTTTTTTTTTTTTAACTCTTTTCAAAGGTCACCCAACTGCATTTCCCTTTTAATCTGCACCTAAGTCAGAAATTATTTTTTGACTGCATATTTTTTTTTGTTATCAATATTGGTAATCTTAATACTAAGAGAGACAGTTATTCTGTCAGTCTGTCTCTCTACCGGGGTTGGGGGTATTTCCCATTTCTGTCTGTTGACCTTGTTCCTCTATTTATTTTCAACTGCTGAACATATTTTATGTATTCAAAACAACTTTTCAATTATTTTCTAGATGATATTATTATATTTCCCTTTCTTGTTAAGTGCTTATTTATTATTTTCATTTGCTGAACCCCCATATTCACAGGATAGCCTCACAATATTTTCATTATGCTATAAAATGTATAAAACTGCTTTCTGCTAAAGAACAGCTGAATTAACACTTTCATTGATGTGAGCAATTATAGACATTATGAAATTACTACAAGGCTGCAGTATTCATTTACACAATTACAGTCTAATAAAAATATATTGACCCTTTTAAAATATTATCTGTACTCTCAGAATGTAGTATTGGATTCTAGCTACCGAAAATAAGTGATTAAGAAATAATTTAAGTTAAGAACAAATAACCCAAGTTGAAAATGTTGTACAACTATAAATATAATATGTAATGATGCTACCAAAAATGTTTGGAGAAACTGGTTACTTACTCAAACTCCTAGTTTCCATGGTTTCCTTTTAAGTATTTTCTTGAGGATGTGTGGGTAGTATGACAATTATTGGTGTGGAAAGTGAAATTGGTGAGCCAAATTCAAATTTTTGCCTAGCTTGCTATATTCACTTTCACACAAATACCAATGGGGTGGAGGCAAGAATCCCTCTTTCTTCTCCACCATCTATGGATTAAATGGCATAGTCTTTGATCTTGGATGGAAACCAACCTAAGAGGAGGAAAATTATGGATAAAGCAACAGGAAACCACTCCACTGTCTTTCCAAAGAAGGTATGTCTATTCGCAGATAATGAAGGAAATGGTATCTGTGGTGAGCTATGATTGCCTACATCCAGTAGGGATATGGTATTTATTTATTTTTTATTTTTTTTTTTTATTAATTTATCTGACAACACAGAGGGTAGCAACAAAAAAATCTGTACTGCATTTAGCTTGAGAGAGAGATGGGGGGGATAATTCACAGAAATACCTCCCACATAATGGCACAAGGGTTGATATGCTGGTAAAACAAGCAACATAATGGTAAGACATTAGCTAGAAGACACCATTGCTTACTTATGTGGGAGGTATTTCTGTTGCATCCTGTATATAGATTTATGCTTAAATATTGGTTAGCATATTTTTTTTATTAGCTCTGTAAAAATCTAAACCACATATAACTAAAGAAAAAGCAGTCAGACAAAAACTTTATTTTATATAGTTCAAACAGACAACAATGCACTTGAATGACACTGACAATCCTTTTCAATGCCAATCAAAGGTATTGGCATTGTTCATTCTTTTCTAGTTTTTTAATACTAATTCCTTAAAGGTATTCCTTTTATTTAAGGAAGCATTTAGAAAGCATAGCTTCAGGTGTATTGTGTAATACAAATCTCTTTGGCTAAAGTTTTAACACAGCCAACTTTGCAACTAATGCTTCAGGAGCAAGAATCTGAAACTGTAAGGAAATATTTGAAGCCAAAAAAAAAAGATTATGCAAGTTGATAGTGATGACATCTATTTGCATTTAGCTCTAATTCCTTAAAAATAAAATTTCATATATTCTACCTCTGAGATTAATGTGTCAGCTTGTGTGTGTGTGTGAACATCTGCACTTGAATAAAATTTTTAAATATTCTGTAAGAAATAGTTGATTCAGTTAAATTTTGTTAGATATATAGGGAAGAGTTATTCTGTGCTTGTTTCTTATCCTAACTCCTTCCTGCAGGTCAATTTTGTTCACTCTACCTCCCCAAAAAAGGGAGCACTATTTGCTTTTCCAATCAGTTGTTATCGATATGTATATACTTAAATGCACTCATGCTCTGTCAGGATGATTGGAAAGTAGTTATTTCATGCACATCTCTCTCTCTCTCTCTCTCTCTCTTATATATATATATATATATATATATATATTGAGGTCAACACACAGTGGCGACAGTATGGGTTATGCAATCTTCAGGCCATCTAAAGGGCCTGAACTTAGTGCTTAAGCATGAAACAGACTGCTGCTGCTGCTGGGTGTTGACCTCACTATCCACTGCTATATTTTTTTATATTTATGTACACTCTATCTCTGATATTGAGCACTTTAACCTATAAATATTACATGCCTTAAAAGTATATTATTATCATTTTATATATATATATATATATATATATATATATATATATATAAAGGAGGCACAGTGGAGTAATGGATAGCAGCTTGGATTGAGAGCCGAGTTCAAATTCCACTCAAATCCATTACATTCACTTACATGCTAATACCCTTGGGAAAGGTGTGAATCCTCTTCTTCTCCCTTCAGCTATGGGTAAATAGCAGGACAGACTGGGTTCTATAGCCTTGGATGGCAACTAGTCTAGGAGAAGGACAACTCTGAATTCAAAAACTTGCAGAGGCTCATTTGGGGACCCTGTGGCACATAGTGCACCAAGTATCTGTATTCAGCCCTTCAAAAAGTGTAGATTGTTCTGCATAAAACCTTCAGCACTATAATCAAATCTCATGTGCTGGTGTCGGGCTGTCAGTTTCCTAGGAACTGATCTGCTTGACCCTCATATGTTGAATTCGATGGGAGGCTCGGTATATATATATATATATATATATATATATATATATATATATATATATATAGTGGGCATTGAGGTCAATATCAATCAGTGACAATCTGTTTCATGCTTGTAGTCTGTTTCATAGACCAGAATATTGCATTTAAGCATGAAACAGACTGTCGCCACTTGGTATTGACCTCAGTGTTCACTTTTATATTTACTTATGCTCTGTCTTTGATAATGAGGACTTTTTACCCATAAATATAGCAAACCTTAAAGCTGTATTTTTATCATATATCAATAATATTAACAACACCTAAAAGCATACTCCCTTGAAAATGGCTAAAGAAGTGGCCAAAAGCTCTTGGGACAATGGGCAATATGGATAATTTTTGCACTCCCCTACTCTTACCAAATGAAACATGTTTAAAAGAAAGGTTGCTGCCCAAATATACATTTTATATATATATATATATATGGTAAGCATCAAAGAATTATAGGAGTTTATTCAGATTATTCAGCCCCTATAATTTGTGGTATTTGTTCTCATATTCCAGCCCCTATAATTTATGTGGCATTTGTTCTCATATTCCAGCCCCTATAATTTATGTGGCATTTAATCGAATATTTTAGCCCCTATAACTTTTGTACCAATTGTTCAGATGGTACAGACTTGTTATTCCACAATCTTCTATGGAAATATCATTTCTCTCAGACTCAAGTTCACACAATGTAAATGAACTAATAAAACTTTTAGCAGGGATTTTTTTTATGGATAAAATGTATTTATAAACTGATCTTCAACATTATGTATTAGTGTGCATGTGTGTGTGCAGAACAAAAATTTATTCAGGCAAATATGGCTTTGTTTATGAGGAGAACATGATAATCATTATTCCTATGTCTTTCCTTTCAGGCTAATATGTTCATCTTGGTTGTTATACTCACAACATTTTGGCTGTTGTATTTTCTGACCTTCTTAAGGTGCTTGTCTTTTTATTTCATGGTAAGAGTGGTTATCAACTCCTGTGGAATTGAGTGAAGATAATAGACAGACCAATGGAGGAAATGGCAACTGGAAGAAGCCATACACATATTAGGTGTTAAGCAACCTCCTCAGTAAATGTAGCATATAGATGAATACCATCTGGGAGCCTTTGATTAAGAAACGACACTCAAATATTTCACAACCTGAATAAAGACACTCATAAATTGCACCATTAGAGTTAACACTCCAAAATTTCACCACTGAATTGTTCAAGTTCTGGATAAAACATATTTGGTTCCTTGAGTTCAATTCCTGATTCAGGTAATGCCAGAAATTCACATACCCTAGTTTATTGGCAGAAATGAACATACTTCATCAAGGTGAATAAGACTAGTAAGTATTAGCTGATATCCCCATAAGCATAGAATGTGGAATGAGAACAATCTAGCCCTGGTGATTTAAATATAGTGACCAATTCAACATTCCATGAAAGTTACCAAGTATAATGACAGACATCAAAAGAGGGCTGGAGAGTACAATGGTTGAA